TATTCCTAGAAATCTAGTCTATGATATAGCCAATGATATAAAAGATTTAGGTAAAACTATGTTCATTTTTAAATTATTACATTAAGACTGAGGCAAGAGAATCACTTAAACCCAAGAGTTAGAGGCTGCTGTGAGCTGTGATGCCACTGCACTCTACCAAGAGTGACACAGTGAAACTGTCTCAAAAGAAAAATTATTACATTAAAAAATCCACATTCAATATGCAGAAATAAATAGAATTACAATTTTTTAAATGTTAAGAGTGATTTTTCTGGGTAGCAAAATAATAGGCAATTTTTGTCTTTTTATATTTTTCAAGTTTCTTACAATTGAGACATGTTAATAAAGAACTTTTTTTTTATAAAGAGGCAAAACAAGCTTTTCAGAGGTAAGAAAATAACAGCATATCTGATTATCACGCTAGAACTTTAAAAGTGATTTTAGACATATTAGCTGAATCCTTAAAACATGCTGGTAAGGTAAATAAAGTGGCGATTTTGTCCATTTAACAACTGAGGATAATAAAGTACAGAGGTTATGTGACTTGCCCAAGGTCACAGAGATAAAACTAAGAAATAGTAATTCCTACTTCTAATTCTATGCCCTTTTTTACACCAGTGGTTCTCAAAGTGTGATCCCTAAACCACCAGCAGCAGCAGCAGCAGCACCTGTGAATTTGTCAAAGTGTCAGGTCCCAATCCAGATCTACTGAATCTGAAACTTGGGGAAGATGGTAGACAGGGATCTTTATTTTATTTCATGATAACAAGGTCTCCAGGATTCAGATACAGAATAAATCTGAGGACACTGCTATATATTATGCTGCTTAACAAATAGTCTCTTAACTTAACATTTCTAGTGAAAAGAAGAGTTGATGGTGTTATTTCTACTACTATCAATTATATTTGCACATTTTTAGGCTCTTCCAAAATTAACAGGAGGTACTAACCATAAGAATTCATAATAATCTTTTTTTTTTCTTTTCTTTTTAGAGACAGAGTCTCACTTTATCGCCCTTGGTAGAGGGCCGTGGTGTCACAGCTCACAGCAACCTCCAATTCCCGGGCTTAGGCAATTCTCTTCCCTCAGCCTTCCTAGCAGCTGGGACTACAGGCACCTGCTACAACATCTGGCTATTTTTCTGTTGCAATTTGGCCCGGGGCCGGGTCCAAACCCACCACCCTCAGTATATGGGGCCCTACCCATTGAGCCACAGGTGCCACCCAAATTCATAATAATTTTAATGCTTGATTTCTGACAATGGAATTAGCCAGTCACCTTCTTTAGGATCACCACCAGCAGTCCTAAGGGATAGACTAGTTTTTAGAACAGTAATGTCACAGGAAATGAACTGATGACAATACTATTACTAGCTAAATATCCTCAGAGAAAACGTTTGTTTTATTTAGGTCAATTGTATGTGGGGGCAGAAATCAAAAACATACTTCAACTGTTAACTTCTCAATAATATACTTCTGACCTTGCTAACCTTGAGAACCAATATAAATACTTGATTTATTGAATCAAGCCCATAAATATTTATGGAGCACTTGCTGTATGTAAAGCATTGTACCAGGCACTAGAGGAGCTATAAAACTGAGTAAGATCCAGTTTCTGGCCAACAAAACTTTTAACTTACTAGATGATGTCAACATTTCACAAATAAACAAGGCAAA